ACTCACTTGACAAACTCACCTTTTCTTCGCACAAACGAAACGATGGCTGCGTTCCAATCGGCATGATTAATGCTTTCAGAAGGCACTTATGGCACTTAGGGAGAATAATTGCGAGGGCCACGCTGAACTCCGTGTGTGTATGTATATAATTTATTGCGGAACAAATGAATGTTGCGTTATTACTCCACTCCTACGTAACGTCATTTCAAAAGCGTAATTCGAGTCGAAGAAAAGAGCAAATAAAACCAAATTACTGTAGGTGGTGGTATATGCTCATGGCACCAGTCGGCTATTAGATCGAAGAAGAACAAGGTCATAACGACAGCTCAAACATGCGTGGATTAAACGATGGGTTTGCAAGTCTTGCGACACAGATACCATGGTTTCGGGAAACAGTCGTGACTAGCTAGTTCGTTTCCACAACGATGCATCATACTATGGTGGTTAATCAGCGAGTTATGTAGTTGTACGGGAAACGCGCCCCAGGGCTGAGTTTCCCAAAAGCTTTGTAAGCCTAAGAAGTTCGTATAAACGATCGTACGACTGGTCTTCTTAATATTACGGTCTGTTTCCCAAAAGCATCGTAACTTAAGTAGCACTTGAAAATCATCGTAGATCTACGAGTGCTCTGGAGTAATCGTAAAGCTCTCAGTGCATCGTAAGAAGACAGATTTATGCGGTCACCTGCCGGACAATCGGCAGATTGCACCTTTAACTTTATTCAAGTGCAATGTGATTATAATATAAGGATTTGATTGTACTTTATTGTACACTTTATTACTTGTTTTTTTTTATTAATTTATAACTGAAATAATTAAAAGGAGCAGAAAAATAGAAATACACATCTAAATTAAATGACTGAACAAAAAAATTAATAAAAGAATTAATGTAGGAAATATGCTTCAAAGACTGGGGGAAAAAATCTGTCAATGACTTGCAAAGAGACAGATTTATACGGTCACCTGCAGGACAATCGGCAGATTACACCTTTAACTTTAGTCAAGTGCAATATGATTATAATATAAGGATATGATTGTACTTTATTACTCGTTTTTTAAAAATTTTTTTTACCAGCAATGTATTGGACCCGGAAATAACGTCTCTTTATATATATATATAAGTATATTATTATGTAAAGTATAACATAATATAATATTGTATTATAGTTATTATATCTGAGTTGTCTGGAACGCAGCATTAGGTTAACATTTCAATAAACGAGCGTGTACTACAATTACGAGCCATTCTATAAAGTGACATTTCAGCACTTGACAAATGGATAGCGACTCCTAAATAGCACTTAAAGCACGGCTACGTGCGATTGTGTTAAGTGCATTTTTGGGAAACGCACGTGAAACAATAACGAACGATCGTAAAATGACTCGTAGAAAACGCTCTTAAGTGCTAAGATCAATCGTTATCGAGAAACGCAGCTCTGAACAGATTGATCTTAGAGCTTAAGAGCGTTACGAGTCATTTCACAAAAGTCCAACACGATTGCACGCAGCTGTGCTTTTAAGTGCTACTTAGGAGTCGCTGTCCGTTTGTCAAGTGCTGAAATGTCACGATGTAGAATGGCTAGTAATTGTCGCACATGCTTGTTGTGATAGCAATCCATCTATTTTCTGATTTCCGTTGCTTATTCTACTTGTGTGAACGTGTATTGAACTCGAATAACATAAAAGTCCTGTAATTTCTTCTTGAGCAAGTTCAAAAACAAAAAATAACTGGAAATGTTGCACGGTCAAAACACGTGTCGCTCGAATCTTGCATAACACAAATTCAAACGGTCCATGCCGGAAATGACATCAGCATAATTTTCGATAATTAATATGAAACCTTAATTATTTAAGTAGAATTTAATTACGTTATCCACACAATTGCTTATTTCACATCTATATAAATAAACAAATAATTAACTTATGGCTCTTACATTTATATTTTGAAATGTTTAGTCTAATTATCTTCACCTGATGTGCATTTGCTACTAGGAGAAAAATCTATATAAGCACATGCATAGGGGTGGAGACACTAGCAAAATGGCTGAAACCAAAAAAACAAAGAAAATAATTTTTAAAAAAAGAGGAAATTAATATAATTTTAGAGGAGGTGGAGCTACAAAAACATAATTTTCAGCAGGTTTAAGGGCAGTCATACAAATAAAGAAAAATGCCAAATCTGGGACGATATTGCTACAAAACTAACTGCAACAAGGGGCATTAAAAGATCAGGGAAGGAGGTCAGGAAGAAGTGGCAGGACTTTTCAAGCCTTGCTAAAAGAAAAAGGGCACAGCAGAGGACAACAATTAATAAAACAGGTGGTGGGCCTAATGACACCCCCCTTCTTACAGCAGAAGAAGAAAAGGCATTGTCAATCCTTGGAACAACTGTCTCAGATGGGATTTGTGGTGGTATTGATCTCCATGGAGGAGTAGGGTTGAACCTGAGTCAGTTCCATCATGCTCGCAAGAGTAATCAGGTTCACCTCCTATTGGCAGACACCTACCATCTCCTAGTCCTCCCAGCAGTCCATCCATGCCCCAGCCTCCATCTTCAATTGTTCAGGCTACAGCCACAACATCTCAGCGATTTGAGAATGTCTGTGGTTGTAGTCAGGACTTAGTGCAGCTGGAGTGAGAGAAACTAGATGTTCTAAAAGACATCAGACATTCTCTTAAAGAGGCCAAAGAGATGGACAACAACTTTCAGAAGCAAATCATTGAACTCAAGAAGGCCAAGCTGGCTTTGGAAGAGAGGAGACTGGCACTGGAGGAGATGAGATTTACAAGGCCCTTCATTTCAGTGCCAATTATCTTGCCAGATGAGTTAGGTAATATTGTTTAATGTTGTTTAATCATTAATAATTATGTTTTAATATATGTTGTGCAACATGAAATATTATTTTCCATAGGACTCCTCACATTGTGCAATGTCTTTTGCAGATCCCGGGGAACAAACCACAAACTTGAATTCAATGTTTTGATGTTTGTTAAACCACTCAAAGCCTAAGTCTCTATGAGATACTACAGCAGAAGTATTCTTATTATAAGTGTTTCAAATTTAAATGGCTACTTGTAGTACTTTTCAAAAATAAGCAGGCAAGCCCTATGGACTGGTTTCACAAAAAGGTCTTAGACTAAGCCAGGATTAGGCAATAGTTCAATTAGGACATTTAAGTAATTTTTATAAACGTGCCTTGGAAAACACATTACAGGTGAGCATCTTGAGACAAAACAAAGGCACTGATATATTTTACGATCAGTCAGTGCAAGCTTCTTTCAGTTGAAACAGCTCAGACTTACATTTTAGTCTGGGACTAGGCTTAAGCCTTGTCTGTGAAACTGGGGGTATATGTTTTATTACAGCTTGAGTCTCGAGGTTGTATGTGGCTATTTACAATTAACTTGATATATTATTAGGGCCCATCTATTATGTAGCCTATCCATTTCTATAGGTGCAGAAAAAGTCATGTCATTTTTATTTTATTTCTTTATTCATTATTATTTCTATATTGAATTATGTGTAATGAATAAAAAAACGAATAAAAAATATACGTAAAAACAAAATAAAAAAGTCACATTGAAGATAAGTACATTTTAGGTGCAATTTGCTGGTTGTCCAGCAGGTGACCTCATAACTCTGTCTCTTTACGATATACTTAGGGATTTACGATTACTCCAGAGCACTCGTAGATCTACGAAGATTTTCAACTACTACTTAAATTACGATGGTTTTAGGATACGGTCCACAAGTCTAAGATGATTCGTGCGATCGTTTTTACGATCAATTTAGGCTTACGATGCTTACGAAGCCCAGGGCTGCGTTTCTCGATAACGATTGATCTTAGCACTTAAGAGCGTTTTCTACGAGTCATTTTACGATCGTTCGTTATTGTGTCACGTGCGTTTCCCAAAAATGCACTTAACACAATCGCACGTAGCCGTGCTTTAAGTGCTATTTAGGAGTCGCTATCCGTTTGTCAAGTGCTGAAATGTCACTTTATAGAATGGCTCGTAATTGTAGTACACGCTCGTTTATTGAAATGTTAACCTAATGCTGCGTTCCAGACAACTTGGATATAAATATATTATATATATATTATACTTTACATAATAATATATATATATTATTATAGTATATAATCTCTATATAGAGATGTTGTTTCCGGGTTAATAACTTCTTTGGGTGAGAGTGATCTAATGTTTAGGAGCCCAAACTTTAAAAATTGTTTTTGTTCATTTATTTGAAATTTTTCTGGTTTAATCACGATCAGATTTTTTCTAGATCCTGCATTAAATTTATATTTTGACCTCACTATTCGGGGAACAGACACAGTCTTTACAGATTGTACAACGCAAGTACTTCTATCATTTAAGCGGGTAGAACAAGTCATCAGGGCAGTTATTTGAGATTTGACTTACTAGTCATATGGAGCGCAGCGTCCTGGAGATGTTGTCCGACATGAGCTCCGCTCCGACTCTGCTGGGATGCAGGCCATCAGCGCGAAAAAGCCTAGGACGCTCCCAGAAAAGATTCCAGTTATTAACAAAGAGCAGTTTCTGTTCTTTACACCATGACAATAACCATTCATTTAAAGCAAAAAGCCTACTGAATCTTTCATGTCCTCGTCGATACGTGGGAAGCAGACCTGACACGATGATCGTCGTCGTGGGCGATCTGTGGCGCACCGTCTCGATCAGGCTCCTGAAGTCCCTCTTCAGTGTCTCCGTCTGCCGCAGCTTGGTGTCGTTAGCCCCCGCGTGAAGCACGACCGCTCCGAGGGGGAGAGGTCGTCGCCCGGGGCCTGGTTCGCGTCTTTCCGCTGCGGCTGCACCCAGGGTCCGTGGTGTCCCGGCACTGGAGTGAAGGACATCTGGGAAGATCACATCCTGGGTGCACCGGGCCTGTGCAGAGAAACACACGGAGTAGAGGTGGTGGGAGAGTTAGCAGCACGCTGTATACTTACCTCGGACTTGTGAGCGTCAGCCTGGGATGTTTCTAGCGCGGCTCTCCGCTCTCTCAACTGGGTCTGCTTCGCCACCAGGTCACAGATCTGCTTCTCCACGGCCTCCAGCTCGTGCCCTCGCCTGCACTCAAAGGTAGACACACATCTGCCATTAAAGCAAGTAACAGTGAGTAAAACAATGGTAATGTGTGTGAATAGAGTATTAGT